AGGCCTGACGGGTCAGCATGTGGAACATGAGCCTTTGCAATTTGGCACACAAATCTCAGCAAAAAGTGCTGTAATTAATTACCTTTGGTTTGAAATGCTGTGGGGCGGCTGATAGGGGGGGAAACTGATGGGGAACATGGTGCAGGCAGTGCTACCCCTCTCTGCACTCTTTGAAGCTTGCAGCATAGCCAGGGAGGCTGCTAAGAATGCAGGAAATGCCTGAGCAAGGAAAATAATGGAGAGTTCAGAAAACAGCACAACTGCCTCTAGAGACCTCAAAAAAAAACCCAATCAAAAGTACATGCCCTCGCTATGGTAATTTTCTCTTTTCTGGTAAGTATAGGGCACCCTGTATAATGTTAGGCAAAAGAAAGCTGGATTTTCACACTGGCCAGGGAAACAATCCTAGTGACAAGAGATCCTGTCACACCACATATGACAGAGGATGCAGAAATGGTGTTAAAAATAGCTCCTCATTGTGCTCCTTGGCTGCTCTGTACAGTTCTGCTTCAACTCTGCAGTCTGAAAGCTTGTGCTTCCTTGCTGTTCTTTTGAAGATGAGATTCACAATGCCATGTAGTGTCTTAATACAGGTGACAGGATGAAGAATGAACCACAAAAATGGGTGCAAAACTCATGGGGGCCAGGCTGACATCCTGAAGACTAAAATGTATAAACTTCCAGAGTGGCTCCTGGCCTGCAGGAATCGCTGCTGTCTGTGATCCTGTCACATATGTCTATTCTGACCTGAAAGGATCTCCCATTCCCATCACCTCTGGTTATTCATTCCTTTGCTGCAGTAGCCAAGAAAATAATACCCATTGCCGCCTGTTGCAGTAGGGTCACTGCCAGGTGACACACTACGAGGGGCTTCACTCCTGGGAAGTTTGTCCATAGTAATGTCACTTTCTTCTGCAGCAGATGACAGGACAGCAGAAGCTTCTTTGATCTCTCTCTAGTACTGTGGTTGCCAAAAGTTTTGTAATAGTTCTCAGATTTTGCAGTAGTGAACACGTCTAAAACACAGACCAACTACAGACACATGAACCCTCAGGATACGGAACGACCATTTCAGACAGGTCAGAGGCAGTCCTCTGGTGATCTCGTTCCTGCTCAGCAGATACCTGGCCCAGACTGGGGTCCACGGTGCAGGACACTGCCTGGGGTGCCAGGATATTCGCTTTACAGAACACCTGAGTTCAGTTTACAGTGACCCTGGAAGTGTAAATCCCAACTGCACTGACACACAGCAGACAGAAATCTGAGGAAACAACCGGAATTGTTTACAAATGGAACAATAATATCACACTGCTCCACTGATAACACTTCAGTTACAAACCAACCGCAACAAAACTGCTAGCCAGAAGTTCTAGAGGGTAATTTAAAACCACCTTGTTGATCTTATAAGCACATATTCAACACATAGAAAAGCACACCAAAGCAACTGTAATGTATAAAATAGTTTATTACTATAATAAATAAAATTAAACTTTTTTTTTACAAATATTATTTGTGCTTGTTTAAAAATGTTGACTAGGGATATCATTAATGTAGGTGGCTGCATTTGTAACAGAAACATTCCCAGACAGTGTGCATACATACATACACACACTGTTTATCTACTGGCAGCTGCTTTGCTGACCACAAAAATAGTATCTACTCGTTTTCTTTTTCTAGTCATGCTTCATTGAACAAAGTGACAAATGCAAAGAAAAAGAACCAAGAGTATTTGGTGGATTTCTGAAAGGATAAAAGCAAGTGAAGTACATTGAAAAGCGCCAAAGCAACTGCATTAGCTGCATATCAATCAAGTGTCCATGCAGTGGTGGCTAAATATTGGAACGCAGACAGGTCTCCAACAGATGTACAAATATTGATTTTATGTAGGTACGATAATATAACACATTCATTAGAAAACTTGGTATTTCTTTATATAGCAGTTCATCCTGATACAAGATTATTGAACTTCTTTCATCTACAGCTAAAATGATTCTTTTTCTATGTTAGTGGTCACAGATTTATTGGGAAGAAGAAAAAAACCCATGAGAACAGTTAGTGAAAACCTCAAACTGTTTTGTTAACATTAGGCATTTAGATCCAGTTACAGAGGTGTTCTGGGATTACACATCAAATATGTTTACAAAACACTCAACAATCAGCTTGAAACAAATTACAGTTGCAGGTAAATTCACATTAGCTTTGTTGAACTGTAAAAAAACATCTTTGAAACCAACACTTTTGCAGTATGATCAGTTGGCTCCCTGATGTACAAAAGTGTTTGGACAATAGCTGTGTCTCCTTACCTTATGAGGGGAGAGGGCTATTGGAGTAATTAATTTTCCTAATAAGAAGGCAATAAGTGGAGAAAGAAATGTGATTACCAGCAAGTGATTTCCATTAGATTTAGAAAGCTAATCAAAGTGCTTCATCTTTAGGCAACACTGTAAATACTACAGAACATTAGGAAGGAAGGAGAATGGAATCACAGTTTGAATTATATCACTTATGAAAGGGTTTTAAGGCTAAATGCTGGATATATCTTATTGCAAAAAAAGCTATATTTTTATTTAATTGAATCAATGCTTGCCACAACAATGTGGTCAAAACTATGTCAGATTGGAGGATACAGTATTCTACTGTGCCTCACCTCAAATTTCTGGAGGTTCTCCTGCATGGGACTCTCTCTAAAATGTTTGTCTTAATGAATCATAAGTGCAGCTAACAGACTTTGTTATTGCCAATACACCTACAGGAGACTACGTGGAAATGAAGAATTAGGTAGAAGATGCTTTTTACCACCTAACACCAGGACAGGAAAGCAGAGGTGCAGCAACCATGTGTTATGCTGCCCATGAGAAGAAGGATAGGCTCAGCACCTTTGAGACAGCCCCTGGCACCAGGAAAAATAACTCCATTTATTCCATCATCTCTCTTGCAGAAGCCATGAGAAACACTACCAGGGCATCTTGGCTTCAAAGATACTGTGAGCAAAAAAATACCGGCTTATGAGCCTTATCCCCACCAACTAGGATACAGTGTTTTTCCAATTTCATGTGGATTTCTCTTCCTGACTATCATGACCCTTGTCAGATCTTTTCTTAGTCACACTATTTACTAGACTCACAGTATGAAGTTGAGGCCAACTAGAAAATTCAAAAATCATGGCCTTAAAAGTTCAACAGTTTACTAACAAGACACTAACTAGGACATTCTGTGGATGTCTACTGGGAAGGTTTAAGCTCCCTTCTTGAACTGGAATCATTAAATGAGGAATGTGCTTTTACTTAACAGAAATGCAATCCATAGACTCACTATACATTGATATTATATATATGTGTGTATGTACACGCATCTGCACAAGCGTAATCATACACGCTGTTTACATAGTAAAGACAAATTATGTACTAAATTTTTTCACAGATTGGTTAAGAGTGATTGAAAATATATCACCAGATAGTCGCAGTAAATATCTTGTTGAGTTCATTAAAGGGAAGTACTGTAGAAACAGAACATCACCTTCCAAGCTGTTAAACAGGGTGTTCGCTGGGATTCAGGGCAGCACTGTGAAAGAGATGTAAAGCAAGAATGGTGTTTTTAAAAGTATGCATATAATACCAGACAGAAGTAAATGTATCTGAACATGGCAGGGGTGAGGGCTGCGTTTTGCTTTTTTAATCCTTTTTTTTTGTGCTGTGTATTCGTATTCTTTCTCACCATTCAAGCATGCACTTTCAGAAAGTTCTCATTCTACCAAATCATAACCCAGGCTCTTTTTCTCAACTACCTTCTTTTGACTGAAATTTAATTACACCATTTATCAAAATGGAACACATCATCTCTTTCAGAATGGTGCAGGTTATTTAGCAGGTTGTTAAATGGTAGAAGCACTGTGCCAGAACACAGTTAAAACTGAGGCTTTGGGTTTTTTTCTTATGGTATGTACAAGCATTTGCTTGTGAAGGGGCAGATTCTTATGTTCAGAGATCCTTCATTTCTAAGCTGGAATGTAATTTAGGTGAAAAGGCTCAACCACCATGTACAGAGAAACAGGAGAAAAAGAAAAGACTGACAAATAAAATGGAAGAACAAGTAACAATTATAGTGGGTACACGTGCTGTCCAGCCACAGGCATCTGAGTGTAAGGCTCAGTGGAGAAAGACAGATTCGTAACACAGGTGCTTTCAGCCACTCTTTAAAGGAAAAGTGTTGCATCAGCGGTGCCTGGGCACCACAGCACAGGTCCAAACTAGTCTAAGGTTCAAAGGAATGACTAGTCCCAAAGTGGGCATGGATTTGTTCATTTTTTTTAACCACTCAGTAGCCCAGGGAATCCAAAGATTCCTAGATAGCTCATCCTAGATAGCATTTATTTTCAAATTCTCTTGCAACAAATACAAGTTACTGAAAGATGATGCACACTCCTACCACTAGTTTTAGTGCCTGACAGTTCATAAAAATGGGCCTAATCTCAGTAACAGCTGTACAAATCTGTGTGACATTGACCACTCTCAGGGCTGACATGGAGCAGACACCCTGAAGGTGTCATTGTAAGGAACAGAGTTTCTCTGCAGTTTCATGACCACAACAAAATTAAATTTGGCCTTTATCTTCAAAGACATTAAATTTTCAGTGGAATTCAGAAGTGTGTTACAATTTTTAGAGTCTTTACAAATGGATAATAAATGACTTTATAGGCCATTGTAAGAGTCTGAAAAAAGCCTTAGAAAAGGACTCGGTGCTGTGCCCACCCACTGTCACACGGGGTGTGCAGCAGTTCAGTATCATACTGAGCATCAGGCTACACAAGGAGCACCCTCAGAAAATGGGCAGTTGTCTGCCTTTGTTCACAGGAGTGGATTATTATTATTATAATTATGGGACTTCTAGGGCTGGTCCTGCCAGGATTCCAGGCTGGGCAATAGGCAACACCAGAATAACCTTTAGCATATCCCTGAGGGCACACAAAAATATTACCGAGAAACATCAATTCAGTATCAGCAACAAAGGGCCAGGTAACCTGCAATTGCATATTTAACTCTAGGTCCACACTGCCATTCTGGAAATAGTAGGCACATACTTAGGAGGTTGTAAATATTTCCTCCCTCGTCCACCTGGGATAAGCTAATGGTCATGTTTATCCAACTGCAGGTAAATGGGTGACACTTTCACAAAGGACTTGCTAAGACTTTCAGCCTTTTAAAAATTTTATGAAGCAAACCAAGCATCAAGAACATCATGCTGGTGAGAAATTTGCCTGGATCAGAAAACTGACTCCAAGGCGGTCTCTAAAAACTTGCTGGAACTTCTGGAAATCAATTACAAATCCTTATATATCAGTACACCTGGGGTTTACTTAGGTGGAATTTACTGACAAAGGAGACTAAAAAAGAAAAAAATCATTCAACAGTTTCTAACTGAAACCATGGACATACGGGTTTCTTACAGCAGCCATGCCATAGCTGTTGCAGGTAACTGCTACCACTTACAGTGATTAAAGCACCAAACACACAGCATGGCTTTGGTCAAAGAGAGACTTCCTCAGTGCTGCAGGTGTGCAATGCACAACTGTAAAAGACATCAGCTACCACTGGAAAAACCTAAAAATGGAATCAAAAATTAATTAAGGAAATGGTATCTTAGTTTCAGAGCAACTCACCTCCCTACTGCCTTTTGTTGTGGAAGGGAAAAGGGTAACCTACAGATTTGATCCTGAGAGTTGTTTCTCAGAAACGTTTCAGTCCTTGGATAAGAATTCACAGTCTGTGGGCACTTTCATATTGAGCCAAGGTGTAAGACCCTTGAAAGTCAATCCTAAACCATCTGCTTCTGGACTTGTAAATGGTGGTGTTGCACTTGGAATAATCAGCATCTTTGAGAGCAAGGGCAGTTACTGCAGGAACAGGTATAAATACACTGACCACATGACCTGAGCTGGTAGCTTTGCACAGCATGGCCTCACCACTGTGCCAGTCAACAGTGGACCTCACACTTCCCCAGGGATGTCTGACACAGTTCTGCATTGCACCGTGCAAGCACCAGGCCAGCAGAAATCCTTTAAAGTGGTCGTTTTCCTTGCCTCTTCCGTACACAAACAAAATCTTCCCCCCAGAAAATCATGTGTTTCTTTGTAAATGACTTAGTACCGTGGAAAAAGAATGAGCCTCAACACACACAGTGTTAAGACCTATTGCCATTAAAAATAAAAACCCATAAAAGTGTGGCACCATACTTCTGAACTCTAATCTACTGTTAAGCAGTGAACATACCAGATCAGTGGAGTGAATATACTGTGAATATACACCTATATTCCAAGGTGAGAACCCAAGTCATGATATGCTACCCTATATGAATAATGAAGAGTAGTTTTGGTAAAGTGCTTCAATCATCCTCCAAAAAAAGTTATGAAAATATAAGTTTTGGAAACATCTCCTTCTTTAAGAAGCAGATCTCTTTGTTTCCTTGCTACAATAGCACTTGCATACAGTAAACACTGTATTTCTACCTCTACTATCCATTTACTTCCAGCTAGATTAGATCAGGAACAATACATCTGGATGTAGAGGAAAATGCCACAATCTAAAACTGTTAAAAATTCTGTGAAAGCCTTTGACTACAATGAATGTTATCAAAACAGAAACTTCTGAATAATAATTTAACAAGAATTAAAAGAGCAGATTCTTAGCAAAACCAGGACATAAATGCCACAGCATATTTCCATCAGGAGGCAAATCTGCAGGACCTGTTAGTGATGTTCACAATACATTGTGCAGTAGGCTGCACTCAGGTACACTGCACACCCAACTCTCTGGCCTCCAGCAACTGGAGTTAAAAGCAAAAGTAACAAATGTTGAAAGACATCTGAGACAGAAGTTATGTTTCTGAAAAATCAGTATCCTTGATCCAGTAAATGAGAGTATGGAAGTTCCCATTTATTAACAGATCTGAAATACTGTGGCTATTTTTGAAAATGTTGCTAAATGTAATTGCTTTAGCAATATGTCAGTTTGCAATTAAAAAATACCTTTTTTTTTGTCTTATTAGCCCTTCCTTGACTACCCAAAAGAAACTTCAGTACTGAATAGCACTCAACCTATTGACGTGGAATACGTCTGCTACTGCTCTTTGCATTATTACAGATATATGAAAATATACTGTGACATTAAACATGCTGTACCGGTGACTGAGAAAGTGACAGCAGCAGCAACAAAAAAAACAAAAAAACAAACAACCCACCAAATGCTGAAAATACAAGCACCCTGGCAAGTGCTTGTATAGGCAAAACCCGAGCGAAGGACGTAAGGCATGCTCCAAAAACCTCAGAGGTCACCTGGGGCTCACAGCAATGGTTGCTGCTGTCAGAATCCTTATTCCAGCATCCCGAGGGAGAGAGGGGGAGTCAGGGGGAATGGGCACCAAGGGATAAAATAAAAACTTCAGAAACTGTACCCTTGCTGTCAAAAAGGCTTCAAAGTCAGCTGCCATCTTGACATGAGGTTGCAATTCCTGTTACCATACCTTTTTAGACAGAGGGAACATGCTTAGTGAACTGGCCCCTCACTCATTTCCTAGAAAGGTTAAATGTAAAGTGTTAGGGGGCTGTTTCTTTGTTTATTGGTTTGTTTGTTTTTTAAAAGAAACACCTCAGCTAGCTCCAAACATGTCTTTTTCTGATTCTGGAGACTGGGGCCTTGATATTTCAAACAACTCCTGTGGCGACTGGGAGCTTCTTCTTGAGGTTAATATCCTAAGTATCTCAGCAAGCTGGTTTTCTATATTGGTCATTTTTGTGTTTAAAGCCTTGATGTCCTCTTTCAACTCATGTTTCACTTCTAGCATGGTGGCCTGAAGAGTCTGTTCTGGGATGGGATAAAAGGAGTGCTTGACCTCGGTGAGGACTGGACTGTGGTCCTGTGGGCTTCTCGTCTCCCCAGCGTTATCCAAGCGCAAGTCACTTTTTGTAATGCCACTATCACAAGAGTCTGTCTTCTTCAGGGTAGCTTCTCCCGAAGCTTTAGTTCTCTCTGGTAAAGTCTCCATGGACTCTGCTTTAGAGACCTTGTTCCAGTCTTCACCTTTCCCACAGGCTTCTTTGAATTTGGCCCAGCCTTTTCGTCGGGGGTAGTCCCCTGAGGCCTTACACCCTGCGTGGTCCGATGTTGGGGCCTGCAGCTTTGCCTGGTCGGAGGTCCCAGAGGTCGAAGCGGGCTGGTACGACACAGGGGTCGCCGGACTCTCCCGTACAGTCACTACGCTGGCTTTGACCACCGAGCGAGCAGAGGACTGCTCCCCTAAAGCATTGCCCTTTTCCACATCCAGGTCATCTGGATCTCGGCCCCTCTCTGCTGCAAGCCGCGCTTCCTTCTGCTGCCTGAACCTCTGGAACAGCCGGCGAACCGGGTGGTCTGGGGGTAAGATCAGGGGTGCTTCGTTTTTCCTCTTCATCCTCTCCTCCTCTTCACGTTTGACATCGCTGATTTTCCGGAACACAATCTACAGGGGGAAAGAGATTTCACTCTGTGATTAACTGCACATTTGTTAAGGGGGAAGAATTGGAGAAAGAATCATTTGAAAGAATCTGTTTTAACTGAGAAATGCACAACCTCTGCACATTTATAGCAACATTTTCAAATGTCTTATGTTGTGTGGAACTTGGCTTATTTCATTATTTAAGAGCAGACACAATCTATCTTATAACACCGGAAAGAAAAAAAGAATAGATTTCTCCAGCTCTGAGAGGTTAGCAAGGCAGTGCCATTGTAAATATAATGATCCCAGGAAGCTCTGTTTTGTGTTAAAAGTGACTTCTCATATTTGTTTTCCCAACTCCATAGTTTAGCACCAAGTTTCTAATAGTACAGAGCCATTCTCATCAGTCTCATCTCAGAGCTCACTCACTGCAAAAGATCTGATATAGCTTTAGTGCACCTTGGCCACTCGTGGTGTCAGTACAGCAGAGATTACTCTGCACCCTTCAACGGCAGTTTGCAAAGTGCTTCTTGCCCTCCCTTCCTTCCCACATTCTTCTAGAAGCGATGTGCAGTTCAGGGAGGAGGCAAAGCTCAAGCCAGTCCCACAGCCAAGAGCACCAGGACGATGGGGGATGGGCTTTGCAAGACATGGGGAAGCTGTTCATGGCTTGATTACCTCAGAAGCTTGAAGAGCTTCACATCTTGATTTATTTCTTTATTTCTATGCAAAAGGGAACATTTTTTGCACAACAAAACATTAATTTTCCATTTACCCTCCTAATTATATCTTCCTGAGCCTGTAGGCTAAGTGATCTCTGTAGGAGCAGCCTCTGGGTCTCACAGTACTGATCAAAGCCTCACAGTGTCCCAACCTGCAGCCAGTCAATGTTTCTTCCTTGTATGCAATGGCAATACATTCTCTTCAAAAACTCCTTGAATTTTACATTGGTATTGATATTTTCTAAGCAAAAAAACCCTCCAGTGTGGCATTAAACAAGAACCAGTAAGTAGTCTTTGTCTGAAAATGAGAGGTCCCCTAAACTGAAGTTTTCAATAACAGAGTGTAGAAGATGCAGCCCCTAGCTTCTACTGAACACTGATACCTAATCTCTTTAGCTGCTTTTGGGAAAATCCACTCAAAGACCTTACAATCCATTGCAGAAATAACTTTCAGATTCAAATCATTATTAGGAAATGTGTAAATAAACCCATCCCTCTGCTGCAGACAAATTTAAATTAAGCTAGAGCTAATAAGCACTGCTTCACTGGCACACATAAAATGAATGTTTCTCCAGACCCCAATGCTTCTTAACAGTTTTGTAATTGTGAAGCAGGGGAAAAACTTCTTAGCAGTGCATCTTTGGAAGGAAGAAGTTGTCAGACTTGGCAGCATTTCCCAAATACAAAAGAATAAAATTAGCAGGAAGGATATTTTATTTCCAAGCTGCAATTAGGAAACTAAATATGAGATAAGAATAAGAAAACAGGGTACTTGACAGTGTTTTTTTTTTCTCCCCTTAGGAAACTCAGTCTGCAGTGAGCTCAGTAGAAAGTGGACAAAAGCAGCGTAATCCTTATGAGTGAAAGAACAGCACTCTCTGGGAAGGCAGGTTCAACGCAATCCTGCAGGCTAACGGCTTCCCACACACTGGCAGTCTCCCACTTTACTTGACGGATGAGTGTCAGCCCAGCATTAGGGCAACTGCCCTGCACGCCCTGCTGGAGCCGAGCGATGCCAGGTGGGATCTTGGGGGGTCACTCCAGCAGCATGCTGAGGCTGGCTCTGGAGGCACAAAGCCCCAGCAAACCAAGGCAGCTACAAGCCAAGTCAATTTGTCTCTGCAAAATTCTGTGTCTCCAAAATCTTTCCTCTCCTGGAGTTTGTATGTTTGGTCCTGGTGTGGACATCTACATCCTATGCCAGGTGCAGTTAACAGGGCTCACATCACTTTGTGCATGAGCAGGTTGTCTCAGTCTGAGTTATGGATCAGGACTGTGTGCTTTCCTTAAATGCTCAGAAGGGACGTATGACGGGCTGGTGCAATTGTGACTGTCACAGGGCTGGCTCAACAGAGCTAGAGGCCAGGCTGCTTTGCCGAGTCTGTGTCTGGGCCAAGCCCTGCTCCACGCAGCCCATTCAGCACCTTGTGCACTGGGACACTTCTCACTCTTTAATGACTGGCTTTTGTAACATAAATGGGTAAGTTATTTGACAGAACCTGCCTCTGCTCCAGCATCATGCAGATGAGAGAGCAATGAGCAAATCTCAAGCAAGCACTTATTAACAGACCCATACCACTGCACCTCAGGCAGCTGGTAGCATGATCCCCCTGTTGGAGTACATGATAAACAAATCTACCAGCAAACACAAAAAGGTGAGCACAGACAGACAAGCTGTTGGTAGCACTTATCCATCCACAGCTTCCACTGCTCTCCATGGCACTGCCTAGGTGAACCCACCCTATGGGCATCCCATACTGTGGATGCCAAGTACGCTCTGCCATGATGAGCGGCCATCAGCTTCCCTGCTGACTGATGATCAGCCTCAGGACCCTGAACGTACCTTCACTGCTTTGCCTTCAGGAGATCTGGCTGTAGCAGGAACAGGAATGTATATGGAGGGAGCATTACGTAGCCTTTGCCATGGGTAACTGCTACCATGCTAACGAGACCCCTGATTTCCATTTTCCACGTGAGGCCTTACACCAGCTGTGAGGGAAGTATACCACAGCAGCAACCTGCATGAATGCAGAAATGCAACCCTCAGGTCTGCAACCTGCAACCCATCCTACCTGACATCTTTGACAAGTATGCATTTATGTGACAAGCTGCACTCATGTGGTGCAAGTCAAACCTACGCACATTTGCCAGGGGACATCACCTCCAGCTTTTGGGTTGGCTCCTTTTAACTCCTAAGACAGTGGATAAATAGCTGTCAGAGAGCAAATTCTGTTTAGGGACCCCCGGCAAAGCTGTCATTTGTCTCCTTTTTTGCAAGTTCCCTGATGCCATATTTTCTTCAGACAGTTCCATATTTATGTATTAAGGAAAAAATGTTATAACTATGCAAACCTCCAAAGTAATTGAAAAGACTTCAATTAACTCAATTTTGGAATGTTTTCCTGCATATTTTAAAGATTAAATGCAAATCCTTATAAAGAAAAATACAAATAATTTTTAAATGGACTGTTTTCTTACAAATGTTAAAGAAAACACAATTTTTAAGTGGTTAGACAGCTTAAGCAGCAGCTAGGTTATTCAGAAAATGTAGTTGTTATGCCACTGTATGTACACCTACTCCCACAAGCAGTAAGAGTACAAAGGAAAAGAAAATTGATTTCGTTTGTTGTAAAGAAGAGAAGTTTGGACTTACACAGAAATTTTCATGTGGAATTTGATAGGGCTACACATATGGATCTTAATGAAAGTTAAACCCCAAAATATTATGGCAAAGATCCCAAGACAGCTTTTAGAACGGTCCCTGTTTCTCTCTCCAAGCAGTCATTTCTGTCTGGGAAGGGATAGGGCTTTGTATCCTCAAAATCTCCTAGCCCATATATTATACATGTATGCACAAACACAGGGGACTTTACAAGTTATGTAGTTCTCCATAACATCGTGCTCTTCAAGACCTAAGCATGCAGAAAAAATCTAGTGGGAGCATTTTAACAGTATGTCAAGATCAAAATATGAACAAAGAACCAGAATTGAGATGAAATAACATGAAGTTTAAACACCAGGCCTAAAACTGTATATTTAACATGCCCAATCTCAAATCTCATTTCATAATTCCATTTTTATTAAAAAGGTGCTGAATCTTGTGCCTCCACAAGGAAGCTCCCCAAGATACCAGAAATTTGAGTGTTGAGGAGATATCAGCCTAGATTTGCCAAAAACTTGAAAAATAGCTCTGTTAGGCACAGATTCTTGCAATCATATAAACATTTAACCAAGGCAAGCAGTTATGATGACTCAATAACAATTTTCTTTTTTTGACAGTGCACTCAGAGAAGTGGAGAAATGTGACAACACATTCTGGTGCACTCTTGCTCCCATATATCCCCACAGACGTACGACAGCACACTCTCTGTGGCCACATTCCTGCCTGTGCATGAGCCCTGTCCATGGAAGAAAGGCTGAGTTACACCTGGCATGTTTCCCTTTCCTCAGTATTAAGTAGTTGGGAAGATGAAGCCTTAAGTAAGTTTTGGGGAAAGACTCTCTTTTTAATCATCATGGAATTTTCAAGTTGTATTTGTAGAATCAATGTTTTTAGAGATTAAGGTCAAAGTATTAAAAAATTAGGTGGACATAAATGAATACTTGAAATATCTTACTTGGTTGTGAAATGTGGAGTGCCCAGCAACTGTTACATGGATTTTACTGTGCTCAGCACTGAAACCCAAGCATCATTTAAGTAACACAACCTGAACATTATTCATGAATATGAGTTTCATAATTTCTTTATGATAAGACCAGAATAACAGATGGCAATGTGACCTCCAAAATAAGGCAAGTCATAGGATTGCTCTGAAGGCATTCCTTGAGGGGAATATTTTTACCACTAGATTGCATCTTTCAGAAAAACACCTGGTTTGATGGTAACACAGAATCCATCATCACATCTTGATGAAAGATTCCTTTATTTTTTGATTCAAGACTAAGTTTCATAGAATAATAGAATAATAGAATCATAGAATGGCTTGGGTTAGAAGGGACCTTAACATTCATCTAGTTCCAACCCTCTGCCATGGGCAGGGATACCTTCCACTAGACCAGACTGCTCAGAGACCCATTTGACCTGTTCATGAAAATTCTGGGGATGGGGCATCCATACCTTCTCTGGGCAACCTGTTCCAGTGTCTCACCACTCCCATAGTAAATTTCTTCCCAATATCTAATCTAAACCTATTCTCTTTCAGTTTGTAGCCATTCCCCCTAGTCCTGTCAACACATGCTCTCATAAAAAGTCCCTCTCTGTTTTTGTTGTAGGCTCCCTTCAGGTACTGGAAGGCCACAATT